CTTGGCACAAGTGTCTCCATCCTCACACAAGTGCTGCTGATAGCCCTGATATAATGCTAGTGTCAGCGGGTCTTGCAGAGTAAATAATCCAATGGTAGCAAAGGCAAATCCATATGCAATGTGTCTGGATCTTCTACGTGCAAATAATGGAAAGTTTTCCCTAAAGAACCCCTTGGTGCCCAAATTACACAGGGCCAACACTAACAGCCATATCATTATGACTCCACGTCGAAAGTACTGGATGGTAAAAATGAGCGATGAATAAAAGGGAATCTGGTAGGTAATCATAAATCCCTGGCAACAAGCCATCAGTAAACACACAATAATGTTTAGTGCATTACAAGCACGTTGGAAATGGCGCCTTTCATCCTTGGCCATTTCCTCTTCTGGACTCAGATAACGCGATTCCATTGTGTCAAAAGCAGTGGGTAAAGTTGTATAGAAATAGTAATAATGTTGTAAAAAGTACAGAGTTGAAGGTAGATGACAAGCACCAAGAGCTTCTCAATTGTGTGGTCTCTCAAATTCGGCATCATTCTTTCTGCTATTATAGAATATTTTACAAAGTAAGTACATCTTACAACAAAAGAAATATTTTGTATTTTCTTATCAGAAAGGATTTTTTTGCTTTGTATTTCGCATGAAACCAAGTACCTTTGGCTCAAGGTGGAATGCCTATTAGGCAATTGTAGACATTACAATGACAAAGGTGCTTATGCCCATGAATGCATCTTCATCACTGCTTCTAAATTAGCTAATTAAACTTGTCCTCTCAGTGTATTCCGTGAGCTTGGACAATAGACAATGGAAGTTGGGGGTGATAGGACATTTGAGGTGTCGTCGTCCTGTGGCATTTGAGAATAGTCAAAAAAGCATAAATCACGCTTGTTTCATAAAGGAAGGCAGGTAGCTTTTAAAGTTATTGACAGACATCATTTTCGAAAAGTCGGCTGTTTAGCCCAAAATCGCTCCGAAATTGCACTTGATTTCAGGGCTGGGCTTTATAGTATTGGCTGATAGATCAATGGATCAACGGTTCTGTAATGTAGTGGTGATCATCCAAGATTTTGATTCTTGATACCCGAGTTCGAATCTCGGCAGGACCTCATTTTTTATTTTTTATTCTATTATTATCCCCATCGCTTGCTTTCAGCGATGTGCGAAAACGGATTATATATCGAGATATTTTTTTTTTATCAGATACATCAAATAACCCTAATGGATTACAGTACATGCTATTTAGCTGACGCTAGGTCCCGCGAAGGTGAGTCAAAAACAGATCTCGTCTCCTAATCAGCTAGACACGCGGCTGAGCGACTTATGATTTGAAAGTGTATTTGCTGATGATATTTGATATTGTTTTTTATTGTTTGCTTACAAGTTGTGGCAAAGATTTAAGAGGCGGCGCTGCTTCTATTGTTTTCCTTGAAGAAAAATTAACACTTTAATCCATATTTTTCTTTCTCATTCTCTAACCAACTACAACACACTAAACAATGTTGGTTAAGTTTGACGCGATGCAGTGTAGTGTTTAAAAGTGTGTACAGGTTTTGGCGCCTGGGAGTTCAAAATCCTAAATGCATGGCCTGGTAGTCTTGGAGATCTTCCGTGCTTGAGAGGAGCTGCCACTGAATGGCAATAATGGCTCGATAGCTTCGCTATGTTCCGCTGCTGGAAATTGACTGTCGTATCTCATATTCTACATAACCGCTACTACTCCTACTCTGTGATTAAGGCCCACATATTTTTGAGAAACACTGGCTAGTGGTGTCTAACTAGTGTTACCACTTCGATCCTTGTGAATCTTGAGCTATTATTTTCTTCATACAGCACTCACTCCTAGAGAGCCAACGTTTTATTGAAGTATCACCAGCAGTTAGTCACAGAAAATAACACCAACGCCCAGACTGCACCCATTAATCCACACATTGTGGCATATGAGTGGTTAACCCTAATTTTTTTACGTGCTCAAGTAGTAACAGTAAATCTGTGCTTAAGGGTTGTGCCCCCAAAAAAACTGCACTGACTTCTTTCTTGACTATAGATGCTTATCATATCTGGATTTTACCATTTTAGGCTCTGTTTTGCGATATTCTACATACATGTTTCACAGACAAATGACTGTGCTAACTATTCTTTTAAGACATGTCTCACTAGTGCATAATGATTGGCATCAATAAATATGG